ACGTGAGGTCCCCATCGGCACACGTGAGGCAATTCAAAAAAAAAAAATTGTTTAGCATATCTAATTCTTTTTTTTATTATTATTTAATAGGTTGTGTCTTTTATTCTTTTTATTATTTTGATTGCTTAAAATAGTTTAGTTCAGTTAGTTTTAATAATTTGGTCATTAGTTACTTAAATAAAATAATATTGTGTCTAACTACACCATTGTTAAGTAGTTAGTTTAATGTACATGCCTATGACTAGTTGTGGTATACTAATTTAGTTCTATACTTATTAGAGTTGTTTCTTTTACTTTTATTTTTATTTTATTTTATTTATTTATTTGTTCAAAAAAAATCGTTATTGCAATTTTTTTAATCTATGTTATTCATTTTATTTCTTTTACTATTGCTCTTCCTAAAAATAAAAAAATAAAAAAAATAATGATGTGAATCGCATGTGGTGAAACAAGTGAGCAGCCTTGTGGTTTGATATTCTTATTCTCATGCTGGTTCCATGAATATGAGTATATTTGCTTTTAGTGTGTGCAGGACATGAGTAAATGGCTATCCACCCGAGCCACCAAAAAGGCCAAAGGTTCATCCTCTTCGGCACCACCGTCACCACCATTCTCGCCACCACCACTAGTTGAGTTGCCATGACCAGAGTGGGCTTCTCGCCCGTTTCACAAGCTCACTCAGTTCAACATCCCATATTTTCAGAATGACTTGGTCACTTCTTGAGCCATTGAACAGCTTCAACTCCAGTAACAGTTAGGCATTGGCACTGTTACAGCGCCAACTTATTCTCGTCTAGTCCGACTCTTCTACCAGAACACATACGAGGAGCCCATGGTGTCCTCTCTCACCCTCCTGTCCACCATTGATGGCCACAACATTAATTAGCATCACGTAACCCATGATTTCCCGGGTGTTAGGTTCCTATGATGAACGTGACGGTCAGCCATTCCTTAAAGTTGAGGGTCATCAACCCATACCCCGCATCATCCAAGAATTTTTCCCTGGGGCCCATGGTGATCCTAACTTTATGTGCCTGCATCAGAGCAAACTGCCTAGCCGCTTATTATTCCTTGACTCGGTGTTGTATAAGAATTTCCTTCCACTTGGCCACATTGCTACCACTATGGTTATCGGGTACACCTTCAGCATGTGATCTGGGTGCACATACGAAAATTTATGCGGGAGGCCGTTTAGCCTCAACCTATGCAGAACACGACTTGGCCCCTACCCTTTTCCATCCTACTCACGCTAATCTTCCAACTGAACGACCTTCCGATTGATCCGGCTAAAGAGATCGACACTGCCTACCCTATTTTTGGCCAACGAGAATGGCAGCATAGCTTATCCCGGATACCACTACAGGGTGGTGTCTTGGTTGCTCAGGCTGATGATCCCATACATGGCCAACATCCTCTTGTCCCTCCCGTGCCTCTCCTAGGGGAGCGCATGTACATGACTCAAGAGGAGTACATGCATCTTCAACACTCTATGGACCAGGTCCATATTACTCTTCAGGATCACCACCCGCTTCTCATGGGATTGCACACAGGCTTTCAGACGCATAGGGATTATTCCCAGGCTACATTCGACCACCTTAATGCCCGCCAGCTCGACTATCAGCAGTCAGTTGCATCCTTCCAAATTAACTTGTATACATATCAAGAGTCGAGCCAGTGTCGTTTTGACCAACTCGACGCTTGGGTTCATGACAAAGCGTTCGAGATGCAGTCATTGATGCACACCTTGTTTGAGCAGCATTTCCCACCATCGCCACCGTCGGATTCTCAGTAGTCACTTACTATCTTTTGCTTTATTTTCTTCATTCATTTATTTATTTTTTATTTATTTATTTTTTAAAAACAATGTGTTCATATCTGCCTAGCTGGAAAGGTGCACCTACATTGTTTGGTAATATTCTTTCTCTTTCTAATTTACTTCGCGTTTGTTTCCATTGTGGACAATGTCATGTACAAGTTGAAGGACAAGGGTATTTTCTTCTATGTACTTCTACTTGGCTCCTAACTCATAATTCATGTTTATACCTGCTTCACTTAATTACACTACTTCACTTGATGTTGACTTGTTGCTAATAACGTCGTTTATAAGCATATGTTAAGTGGGGAACATTTATTGGATAAATACTCGGATGTGATGTTTACACTAGGATATTTGCTTGTGGTTATGGTATTAAGTACACTTATCATGAGTATGCCTTGATTCATATGAACGCACTATCTTAGCGGTGACCTCTCTATTATAATCCCTATTCTACATCATTGATAACTACTAGGGTTGCTGTAGACACCCCTTTTTTGACCGACCTTAAGACTCAGATGTCATCGATTGAGCGCTCGATGATCGCGCATGTTTCTGCTTGTTTCGAGTTTTCGGAGTTTTCGACTGAGTGCCTTGCCTCCAGGCGCCTTGCCTCCGGGCCTCTGAACTCTTTGTATTTTGGCTCGGTTTGTGGACGAAGCCTTGTTGACCTTTCCTGGAGGGAGAGAGAGGGCTGTAGACCACTTTTTGTGGTCGTCGACTACTTTTCCCTCTTGTAGGCTAGTTTTCGATTTCCGGAGCCTTCGGCCGATTGCCTTGTCTTACTTCCCTTTTGGTTTGGTTTTGAACCAAACCTTGTTTTTCATTTCATGGAGGGAGAGAGGGGTCTTGCAGACCACTTTTTTGTGGTCGTAGACCACTTTTCCTTCTTGGAGACTAGTTTCTGGTTTCCGAAGCCTTTGGTCGCGCGCCTTGTCTCGGGACCGCTTACCGTTCTCCTTTTGGCCTGGTTTTCGAACCATGCCTTGTTGCCTTGCTCTAGAGGGAAACAGAGGTCTTGGAGACTACTTTTGTGGTCGTAGACCACTTTTTCCTCACAGACCACTTTTGATGCCTGTAGACTAGTTTTCGAGGCTTCCAGCTGCGCGCCTCGACCCCCAGACTCTTGTCTTGCATCCTTTTCGGTTTGTTTTTAGCAAAACCTTTTTTTCCATGCTTGGAGGGTGGAATGAGGGTTGGAGACTAGTTTCTCTCCCTGAAAACCACTTTTCTTCCCTGCCAGCCAGCTTTCTAGTTGGCCAACTGGTCTTGGTGGCCTTTGGACCACCAAAAGTGGTCGGCAGCCATGCCACCACTTTACTTTCTTAGTGCAGACCACCTCGCCCCCCCTGCTGACCACTTGGTCTTCTTGCAGACCACTTTAAGTCGTCGGCCAACCAGTGTAAGTAGCTGGCCGACCACTTCAACTTGTCGGCAGCTTTCCTGCATCTTTTTGAAGATATTTTCTTGCCAGTTGTGACAGCTGGTGAGCCCAGAAACCATTCTCCATACACGTGTATGGAGGGATTGCGTCTAGCTTCAAGCTTGTTCAACAAGCTTGAGGCTTGTTTTTCTATAAAAGGGAGGCCCTCTCTCCCTTCTCTAGGTTCAGAAAAAAAGTGCTTTGAGCTATACATATCATCTATCTATATTTCTTCCTTTCTCTCTTGTTTTGTGCTTAAAAGTCCCTTTTCTTCTTACTTTTGCACACAAACACATAGTGAAACACCATACTCTTGGAGCTAAGGCACTTAGAAGCTGGTTTTGGTGTTTTTGGATTGATTTTAGCTCAAAAAGGTTGTTGGAGTTGCAGCCTTGAAGTTGTTCTACAAGGGTAAGTTTCTAACCCCTTAAACCTTGATTTTTATTTAAGCTTTTGGCCCTATTTGCATGCTGATTTAGGCCTAACTTTTAACTACAAAAAGTTCTGATTTCAAGTGTTTGAAATGTTTGTTTAAGGCTTTGTTGGTGTTGGGGGTAGTCTACCCCCCTCTTGTGCCTTGTTTGGCCTTGTTTTGTGCTATCCTTTTAAGCTATTGGGACCACCTCTTTTGGGCCTTCTCACCACTGAAACTCAGAGGAATTTCAGTGGTGGAAAGTGTGTTTTGAGGTCCTAAATAGGAGGGGGTCATCCCCTCTCATTGTATCTTGAATGCTTGTCTTATTAGCCTCATGTTTGAGCATGGTTTTCTAGCATGTGTTGGCTTTCTCTCAACTTGTTTTTGGTGTTATTTTGACATGGCATACCTCTGTTTTAGCTTGGTTGAGTCGCCACTTGCATGCATTCTACACTTTTAGTGTAATCTTGCATGCTAGCCTAACATGCATCATGCTTTTGGACCATCATTCTAGCATGTTTTGGCTCAACTCCAAGGACGTGAAAAACTATAATTTTAATTTCTAAATCAAAATCATTATGAAGCGTGCCACATGACTCAAAATCAAGTTGACATGTCATTATAACAAATTAAATCAAATATTAGGTTATATAATATATATATATATAGCTTCACCAAGTCATAAACTCAATTTTAGCAAAACACTCCCTAGCTATACTATTAGGCCTCACTGAATATAATCAAATTGTCTAGCTTAGTGCTGGACAGTGAAGGCAATTGGGACATTGAAGTGCTGGAAAACTAGGTGTGCTCTTGAACCATACTAGAAATTCTCAAAATAAAATAGGCCCAGATTTGTGACCTTTACAAATGCTCCTTTTTAGGTTGGTTCCACTAGTGGTAAGTTCACTGCTGCTAACTATAAATTGCTAATCAGGACATGAGCAATGGAGATTGGAATTGGATCTAGAATTTCATCTGGCTTATTCTTAAGGGAAGGTTTCTCATATGAGACTCATAAGGAATATGGCCTCAATTGACTTGTGCTCGATGTGGATTAGCTAGTAATGACATGAATCATCTCCTCAGAGAGTGCAACTCCTCTAAATACATTTGGGTTCAAATAAAGGACACTAAATGGTGGGAGGATGGATGTGGTCAGCCACTTTTTGAATGGGTTGCTGAGAATTTGAAAAATAAAATTGAGTTTTTTGGTAAAAAAATGATATACTATTTTCATTGTTGCCCTTTGGCAGTTATGGAAAGATTGAAACAAATTTGTTTTTGAAAGCCAAATTGTCCCTATTCAAATCAGTCTTAAGAACATGAGAAATTATGTCCATGAGATTGATGAGGCCTTCCAATCTATCCTCCACTCGAATCCCTCTCATCCTAGACTAATCAAATGGTTTTGTCCACCTGTAGGAAAGCTGAAATTAAATGTTGATGGCTGCTCAAAACGAATGCAAAACAGGTTCAACACTATTAAGAAATGCAAAATAGGTTCAACACTAATCAGTCTTACTTTAGGTTCAACATCAGGAAAATAGGTTCAACAGCAACAATAACACTAAATCGGGTTTTCAGTAGGCTAACCCTTAACCTCAATTGCGTGTGATTGTGAATATTACATTATGTAATAGAGATACCTGCACAGGAGAACCCAACAACTCATCATCTTGACTATCATGATCTCCTACAGACTTCCTGACTTGTTGACGTCCACTAGAGGCATTTGGAAGCTATATAACCAACACCAATACCATTTTATTAAATATGATACATAGAAATAAAAGAAAAGAAAAGAAAAACAAACAAATTGCCCAAGTTATTCAGTTAGTCATTTTTACTCCACCTGTATACCACTTAGGCCACCTTGGGACCTTATGAAGTCCATCCAAGCTCTAACTTGCTCGAACTCTGTCTTCAACTTCTCAGTGACCCTTTGCTCAATCTCAACCGTCAGCCTTTGCTCGATCTCTTCAGTAACTGTTTGGCGTACTTGTTGAGTGATCTCCTCAACAGTCGATGATGAGGATGCTTGTGATGGACTGACATCTTTTTTGTACACTGCACTTCGAGGCACACCTATCCCATAAGTCTTGCAATATCCGTGTCCATCCTTTCCTACTAGGTTATGGAAAATCTTATCTTGTACCTCTTCTGTCCTGAGGGGCTCGTCTATCATTGAGAGTTGCTCATTATACTCATCCTAATATTTAAAGATATTAGTATACAAATAGCACAGTTTAAAAAAAATATTAAACCAATATGCAAAGGCCCATACCAAAAATAATTTCACATCTGGATCGGTTATCATGCGTGTCTTCATGAAGACACTCATTTTGTTAGTGCTCTCTCCATCAGTCATCATCTAAAATTGCCAAACAGATAAGAGTTAGCATTTAGTTAATTTTTATATAATTGTTAATACAAATCATTACCTTATGTCGTACATCGGCAAAGGGTGTTCTCCCGGTCCTATGCACTGGACCACGCAGCTCTCGATTTTTAGAATTGCGACTAGCAATCTTCTGTAAAAGTAAAGCATTCACATTTTACAAAAACTATTAATTAAATGTCATATAAGAGATACATGAATATATTTGTATACCATTGCATCTTTACTACTCCAATACTCCACCATCACCCTCCATTGTTCTGGCAAAATGTCCAAAGGCACTTTTTCATTGATATTTGGATCATCTTTAAAAGGCTTGTAGTGATTGGTCTTAGTCTTATGTTTGTGATCCTTCCATAATTTGTTACATGAGTCTATGACCACTTGCTTCAACCCTTCTGGAGCATATAACAAGTTATCCTACACAACACAAGGTAATGGAAATAAGATTAGCAAACATTATAATTAATATAGTGGAAATAAAGTAGCAAACATTATAAATGTATAAGACATTTGAAATAAAATTATTAAGCATTATAAACAAGACAAATGGAATGTACAAACAAATAAATTTATACCTGAACCTCCTTCCAAATGCCTTCCACAATATCTTCAGGTACTGAGCCCCAACTAAGATAAGTTAGAGGAACTCGGTGTGGATTGCGCACAATCTGACCCAACTACCCCTTAAACGACCGTCCTAGTTTATTAAGTGGCTGAAACATGGCATTGAACTCTACATTTAGCTTTGCTCCTGTACCCCATTCCTTGATTCCCTTAGCTCGACCACGACCATGCCTCCGCGAAGGACCTGAAATAAAAAATTTATTTAAAAAAAAAAATTTAATACAGAACATATCATAAGACAAAAAATATATACCGGAGTCACGTGACTCTAATACAACAGTGGGTACCAGTGATGGTTGACTTCCTTGCGATTGTAGCACCAATGATGGTGTCACATCTCTTGGTCGACACGTAGTCGTATGTGATGATCAAGAGGTTTCAATGCCATCTGAATCATGTTCATGCATCTGTAATAATGCCTCACCCATAGTAGCAGCAACATATTTTCTTTTTTCCATAATTACCTGAAATTATATATTTTTGTCCGGTAAGTAAGTTATAAAATGAGACAAGAAAATATACAGATGTACAAAAGGCATACCTCAGGAAACCTAACAAACTAGAAAACAAATAAAAGCAAAACAGCACCTGTAATGGCAAAACAACACAGCAAAACCAGCAGAGCTATAGTAGTCCACCTAGTGAACCAGAGCTCATATATTGATAATACAATATACAAGTAGATATAAAGAAACATAAACTAATAGATTCTCAAGTTGTAATGCATTACTAATTGGATTGATAATAGAAATAATTAATACAACTTTTATCCATCCAACTTTAGGAATGTATCAATCCCATCCAAGTATTCCATTAACATCCTAGTTCCTAAATCAATCCAACTTTTATCCATCGTCCCACTTTTCGTAACTTTGCCTGTGAAAATCACATCACATTAATTACTAAAGGTTTACAATTTAAAACAATGAGCAACAAACTACAATATGTATTTACGCATTCCTAAATTGTTTGAAATTGAACAATTCAAAAACGATGTCATCATAGCCAAATACATTAACTCTGTTGAGTAATAACCATAGTGTCTTTTTTCTATTGCAAAACAATTTCTATAGTATTTAGAAAGCAAATATGTTTCTAAAAAAAACAATACTAGTGAAATAAATTTAAATTCTCTCTATATATATTAACAAAATATAATTTCTGTTGTTTCTATTTAAAAAACAATATGGTGTGTAAAAAACATATAAAACATAAACATATTTATTTTAAAAATTAAATATGTTTTTTGAAAAAAAAATGAAACAGTTTATATTCAAATAAGACAATTTTTTACTTTATTATATATTAACAAAAAACACTTTATGTTGTCCTTATTAAATAAAAAAATAAAAAAATAAATAAAATAATAAAAACAAACAAACAAACAAACAGTTTCATTGTTTTGTTTTTTCAAAAATAAACATCAAAACAGTTTATAACTTATGACACTATATAAAACAGATTTTTATTTGAATCAGTTTTGATGTTTATTAAGGACAACATAAAGTGCTTTTTTTTAATATATAATAAAGTACAAAATTGTTTTTGTTTATGTTTATGTTTATTTTTTTGGGTGAATAAGTTTATGTTTATTTGAATCTGTTCTGTTTGAAAAAAAAAAAAAACATAAAGTGGTTTGACACTATTAAAAAAAAACACTATAGGAATGTATGAATCTCATCCAAGTACTAATGTGGTTTGACACTATAATCTGTTCTGTTTTAAAGTGTTTTGACACTATAATCTGTTTTGTTTTAAAGTGTTTAACTTATGACACTATACAAAAAAACAAAAACAAAAACAGATTTTTATTTGAATCTGTTTTGATGTTTATTACTAATGTGGTTTAATTTTCTTCAGAACCACTATACAAACCCATTTTCTGGGAGAACATGGTATTTCTTTAATATGAATAATGCCCCACCACATTAACCCACCACATAGGCAACAGTAACAACAAACTTGCATAAGCTTCACATGGTGCATTAATCAAAAACAAACAGAAGGAATATGTGCTTTCACCATAAAGGATTATAAGCCAAGGCATTTAAGCATTAAAGAAAGGGCAAGGACAAAATTTTAAAAACAAAGAAAATAGAGCAGAAACCCAACATTCCTAGAACACTTATAGTCCAAGAGAAGCGAAGGATAGGTACTGATCCGAAATACCCCAATGAAATGCCCATAAACGAGCACCCAACACCAAAACTAAATATCAAAACAATATCCTAAACTAAAAAACTAGATCTAGCGAGAAGAGGGTAGGACAGCCTATAGGGATTGAAGTTTATTTAAAAGAAAAAGGAACTCACGCACGCAGAAAAGAGCTAAGCCAGCCAAGAGAGCTTTTTTAGAGAGAGTACAACACACATTTAAATGTTCAAAAAATGTTGGCGTCTAACATGTGTCTAACATGGACATGGATAGGATCTTCCACAATAGTGTCTATTCTCCTTTATTTTTTTCCTTTTCTCTTTTTTTGATGACAGTGTCCATCCAATTTGAATAGAAGTGTATACAATAAGTAAAAGTCTTACAACTAATTATTGTAAACTTAAGCATTTCTTCAACTATTTTCTTTTCTTTTTTTTTTCGACAATAGGAATTTTCTCGTAGATATCATCCTATTTCTCACCATTTCCATTAGTAATAGCTGCACATACCTCATCAACAATGGACTTTGCAATGCGTTGGCATAAATGGCTTCCAGTATTTAATTTACATTCACTTATTTAATTTTTACTTACATCTAGAGCCACAAGGGCACTGACTAGTTTTATTCCCTTCTATCAAGCCTGCTAGGAGTGGTGGCTAGGTACCAACCTAACCTCTGGCTTTATTCTCATGAAGTGGCTGCTTTCAAAACTTAACTTTATTAGATTCGTAGCCTATTTTTTACAATTCACTAAGCAATACTATGAATTGCATCTGCAAATCAGGGAATGACATGAATTTGAAGAATGGATTGATCGGAATTATATTAAGAAGAAACTAGCATCAACATGTTTTTCATTGCCACATAGTCCATCAAAAGAGCACATAGTGATCTCCTTAATAGTTTCATAATGGAACTTCACCCCATAGTTCTTATAAATATTTTTGAGAGAAACATCATCAAAAGAATATGAGCAATGAAAACATAGAAGATAATTAAACAAACTCTAGTTGACTTCATAACTACAAGAGTTTACAACTCTTATGAGGCAACAAGCTATTATAAGCTTAAATATAAGGACCACAAACTCAAAAAAGTCTTTATCTATTCCAAGTTTAGACATATTTTCCATGTAAACTTATCCCATCAACTAAATAAAACTAAATCACAGTTGGGCCACAATTAAACATTCTCAAACTGAGACATGCTTGTATATGTCTGGGTATATACAATTGGTTGAGGTGATGTTTTGCTGGGTATATAAATTTTGAATTCTACCTTGAAATTCTCTCCAATGGAAAAGGAACAACCCTTTCTTAGTGAGGACAACACAATACTACCCAATTAAAATTCTGCTAGTAGATTACAAAAGTATACACCATTAATCCCTCACATATAGAAAGCTCAAAAACAGAGAACATTTTTTGGGTACATATCAAGCCAAGCCCATGCGGTGAAAGAACAGGGCCGAAAGATTACAAATGCATACACCATTTTTCCCTAGTTTGATTCCAGAGAAAGTTTAGAATTAATGAGGGGTGAAAGAACACAAATCGAAAACTCAAATCATCTACTATTTCAATTCTTAGAGAGACTGATATATATATATATATATATATAGAGAGAGAGAGCACTTACCCGCAAGAGGATAGTCGGCGGTGTTGGTGGAGGGAGGAGAGTCGGTGGTGCTGGTGGAGATGGAGAATCGGCGGTGCCGGTAGAGATGGAGAATCAGTGGTGTCAATGAAGAGTTCGGTTTTAGTGATGAACCAAGATTGAATTTAGGGCAAAAAGAGAAAAGAAAAAAAAATAAAGAGGAATGGTATATATATCAGGTTTTAAAAACTATGTCGTTTTAATTTTTTTCAATTACTTTTTGTGACGGCACATAATACAGACGCAAAAGTAATCTGAAATGGCGCGAAAAAAGGCGCGCGATGCAATTCATGGAACCAAAAAAGTGAAAAAAAAATTTAAATAATTTTTGTTTGAGATGGTAAAAAGTTGACCAACGTAAATAATATTTTTTTGAGACGACATAGTCTGCCAACTCAAATAATAATAGTAAGTAATTTTTTTTTGAGACAGTCTTACTTTGCCGACGCTAATAATACATTTTTGAGTTAGCAAATGTTTCTGTCACAAATAATGGGACTCAAATAGCTCATTTTCTTGTAGTGGGATTTTTTATAGCGATTCCAATATTCCCTTTTCTGTTCAGTTGCATTCCGGACTCGGTTCCGTGGAGTTGGTAGTTGTGTCTACCTTGTTGTCGTCATCTAATTCCATTTGATTGAGTTGTAGGATGTGTTGGGCATGTTTCGAGCCGGTGGGTTGAGCCTTGGTCTAATTTCTTGTTGCCAGGTTTTTGGTCATTCCGCTCGAGCGGGTCGTCTAGCGCTCGAGCGGATATTGCACACTCCCAGTATTTTCGTGCTCTGCAAAACTTCTGCAAGTGTGATTTCTACGCTCGAGCGGATTTCCTGCGCTCGAGCGGAATCGCGCTCGGAGCGGGCTTGTTGGCCTCAAGTGGGAAGTACTTTTTTTTGGTGTAAGTTATGAAGGGGAACAATCTTGCCTTGAGTCGGACCTGGTTTTCACGCTCGAAGTGCGGATTACTTTCTTCTGGTCTTGGACTCGATGCGGTGACTTCTTGCGCTCGGAGCGAAACTCAGTACTTGTTTTTACACTCGATGCGTTGTGTTTCCCGGCTCGAGCAGACTTTCGTATATCAGAAGGTTGTTGGGCAAATTTTCCAAGTCACTTTTTACAATCCTCACTCTTCTCTCTTTCTTACTTGTTCACCAAAACCCATTTGAGAGCTTCTCTTCTCTCTAAAGACCTTACTTCTCTCTAAGTAAATTGATCTAGTAGAGTTGGTTTCCTCAACCTTTGGCTCTTTACAAAAAGGTTTGTTGATCGTCGAGGCTATCATTTTTGATTCGAAAAATTTGTTGATTTGGAGCATCTTCA